TACGGCGAATAATGGTGCTGAAAAATGGAAAGTATGGGTCAATGCAAGCCTTCATGACTATAAACAACTTTTCTGAGGACGCAAAGGCCAGCATTGAATAACGATATCCGGATCGAAATTAGCAATGATTTATAATTACATGCCGAACTAATAGCGCTGCAAAACCCTCCTAGTAAATTGTGAAGTCGGATTATACCCACTTGAATTAAACTATCCTAAATAAAATTGTTGATTAACTGTCTAACACTGACGTTCTTTATCATACGATAAGTATGGGGTTAACCAAGATTCAGCATCTTCCGCGTTCAAACAATCACCTGTAAGGCTAGAACATTAATGGCCAGGTAAAAAAATGGTCGGGATTTGATTAACCGGATTATAAGTCGATTTTTTTTTAGTCGGGATTTGATAAGTCGGATTTTTTTACGCCAACCGCATTTTTAAGTCAAGTCAGGTCACTGATCTATGACGTCATAAATGAGCAGTCCTAAAATGAACTGTGTGAAACTGTCCTAAACTGTCCTAAAATGAACATTTTAGGACTTTGTGCACAGTCCTAAAATTTTCCAACTTCGCAACACCCTCAGTGCAGAGCTTTCATAGGAAGATGAAACTTACAAGATCTTATAGTATGATCGAGAGGTCTCACAACTTGTATAAATGTATATCTCGGATTTTCTGAAGGGTCGCCTGAGATCAGGTCGGTCTCTCACCATTAAAAGTCAGGGGAATATGGAAATTGCTAGTTTGGTCCGGAAATGATATACAACTATCTCAAATTCTCAAGCACACGGAATCGTGATTTCATACGCTCCTTGCAAGGTCTGATGCTTCAATTTTGCTTTCTTGATCTTGGGTGACGTCATTTATCACGTAACTAAGGCTATCAGTTTTTCGTCAATAACTCCCGATCAACTAAAGCTACCGAGTCAATAAAGCCACTAATGGACATGAAAAGACCTGCCGAATCGATCGATATGCAATATGACCTCCTTTGACCAGCTTCGTGACCTGACGGGCTGTGACCTGACCTTGACCCGAGGTTAACATCTTAACTCTCGCCCGTATTGGTGTTTTTCCAGCCGCAAACGTATAGTGTTAGTTTGACTTAGCCTGTCAGTGGGGGTCCGCCCTGTTGGTGATCACTTGAATAAATAAATAAATAAATAAGGGTCCGTTGGACCCCCCCCCTTACCGTTTCGCCCCTGATCGAGCTAGAGCTTCGCGGAAAAAACGAGCGTGTTAGCCGTGACGAGAGGAAGTCGATGATACCCAATTTTAAGGTACTAGGTCATCGGTTGACTTTCCAGGTCAGGTCAATGACCCAAAATTCGGGAAAATCGGGACCTGTTACAAAGTCGTAAAGCGTGGCTGCTATGGGGTTTTCGGGGTGCTGATCACGAATATCATGTTAGTTTTGATCACAGATGATGTCTTCATGCATTTAGGCCAGGTCGGGTCAGGTCAGGTCAGGTCAATCAGTAAGGGTATTCGTAGTAGATGGCAACCGCCTCTAACAGCTTCGCAGCATGTTACGAGAGCACCAAAACTACTTCGTAAATGTTCATATGGCTGCTAAATTCGAATTCAGCTCCTACAACTGGCCTATAATCATGTAAAACTCGAAAGAGTGAACCGAGGTCATCAAAGGTCAATGACCTGACCTGACTTTCCGGTGACCTTGACACCCACCCTAATGCATGGAAGCAACATCATATCCCATGTTTGAATGCTTAAAACCACGAAAAGACTGCAAACGCGCCGCTAATGCGAGCCGACATACGCCGAATCGCGATTCAGGCCAAACATGGTCTCGAGAAGTAGGTCGCAGGTCAAAGGTCATTAAGGTCAGGGTCTTGACAGTTTCAGGGTGGGTGTAAAATTGAACAACGCGAGGGTACTGAAAGTTTCGTCGCGATCGGCCGCTTTTTACGCGAGTTATTCGCGAAAAACCGAGGGAGGGGGGGTCCGTTCGACCCCCCTCCCCCCTCTATACGGGCGAGGGTTAAGTTGATCTCACCCGAAGAAAAGGCATACCATTCGACACGCCTGAGCTAGACAAGCACGATGCTGCTAAAATCGCGGATCTGCGATCATTTTTAGCGAAGTTATTTACCAAAAACCGAACCTGTGCCTTGGGCCACTTGACCTGACCTCCGAAGTCATCGGCTGACCCTGGTCCTTAAATCGGAGACCAATCGCTGCATTTCGTAACGACGCACACGATCGTTTCTTTCGTGAGGCTCTAGCTCAATTAGGGGCGAATCGGCGAAGGGGCTTGTTTCCTCACTTCCAACCCCCAACGCCCCCTCGGTATTCAGAAAACCTGAAGGTCCGGTGAGGGTTAAAGCGTTTCTCCTGAACGAGGAAGAAATGTAAAAGTCAAAGCTCTATAGACGTCCTGTAAAAGTGGCCATAATAATAAATTCGTTAGAAATCATATGCTTTTTAAACGACTTCCTCATATAAAATCGGGTGCTGGGACCAATTTTATAAACGCTTTAGAATGGACAGGGCGTCACTGGCTAAAGTTTGGGTGCAGAAAATGGCTATTACCTAAATACAAAATGGTTTTCATGCATTTCAGTCAGTTGTATATTGTCGGTCCCAGTGGCCGAGCTAAAAAAAAAAATAATCGGTAGTGCTTTGCATCTTTTACGCCCTAAGAAACTACACCATCTATCGAAGTGGTCGGGCTTATTTGAATGGGAGGGCGCATTATGCACAAATCGTGTGCTTTCGTTTGTTTTGGACTGTATTTTACCACATCCACTGCTGGTGTCACTATTAATATTATCTAATGCCGTGAATACGACAGCATTCCATTTATAAGATTGGGCCAATGGAGTCGCGCCCCGCGAGCTCGGTTTTCCGCTGGGCCGCTACAGGCCAGGAAGTCGGTCTTCGCCTGAGGGCAGGACAAAGGTCAGCGAGGGAGCGCGGGGTCAGCCAGGTATCGCCCAGTGCCGAGCGGATGCCGCTCCCTCTCCCTCTCTTCCCCTCTTCTCCCCTCCCCACCTCGGTATAGATGGGGAGGGACCGAACTGCCAATGACATGCGAGCGGTCAAGGCCGCTCGCGCGGCAGCGACCCTGGCGGCCGGGTGCCGCAACTGGGATTCAGCCAAGTTACCGATTCGCCCCCTGTGGGAGAGCCAAACCAGGGGACATACTTTTTAGATATACTGTACATATAACTATTATGATACCAACATTAGCTACACAGGATCTTCTCTCGACTAACGCGTATCCGTTCAGAACCTGCAGCCCAACTCAAGAAACCAAAGAAAATGTGTGACCATTGAACAATATATGGATATTACAAGTTACATCAAATGCATGACTAATGGACAGGTTTTGTTTTAGAGATTTGATCGACCAACGATAGGACAGCATTTATAATCTATTCATTATTCGATGATTGGGCGATGATATTTGACGATTCGATGATTCGGTTTTTAATGTTTTGTCATTTACCATTGCCGCCGGATTGGCCAACTCAGGGCCCGGGCTAAGCCAGACCTTATTGCGCAGGTCTTGGCCATTTCCACCATCGGGAAACTCCTGGTATTAGCGCTACAAAATTTAGATGCCAAAGTTGGACATGATCATAAAACTGGGCACGCTCCGCTTCACTCACGCATTTCAAATAGCTAAAGCTGTTCCTAGTTCCTGCCGACTGCAGACACAAGTCAGCCTTGCTCGGAGTCTCATGGGATAAGTCCCCGAGAGGTCGAACCCAGGCACCCATTACCGGGAGTCCGATATTCCACCAATAGAGTTAAGAGATGGACACACCGATGCTTCCAGCTTCAAGTAGTAAATACAAGTAGTAAATAAGAATTGTAAGACGGAACTGCCCGTACCGAATTTCAGTCGTAACCATTCAAACATTTACTAGCGATGTACGAAGTCTGAGTGGAATTGCACTGGCAACCCTAACTACGCCACCATTTCCTTCTGGTAAAATATTTAGCATAAACTAGGTAGGGGAACCTAAGAAAGTCGCAACACTAAGTGAACGGTATCAAACCAAGACTTATCCACAAACCCTGATAGGATTCAGTTATAATCATTTGATCATAAAAAAATACAAGTACAGTAAGTTGTTTGTACAAGTACAAGTACAAAGTAAGTTGTTTGTTTTGTTGGTTTAGGCCCTTTCGGTCTGACGAGACCATTTCAAACCCGGAGGGATGATAGGAATTGGGGAAAGATATTGGTCACGGCGGGTACCCCGGTGAGTCGCCGGGGCTGAGCCCGTCCAGTCCAGCAACCTGACACCACACCCGACTACAGGCCTGCTCGTATGGGGCGCTTCCCTCATGCGATAAAGTTGCCCGTCTAGCTGGGAACAGGGGGTTGAGGCGTAGAGGAGAAGAATTTGACTATCCTGAGGATGAAAAAGACGGAACGGTGTGAAGTAGCTTAAATCTTTTTGGATAAGATATTAGTACACAGTAAGCAGTTCAGATCTTTAGACAAAAACAACAAAAACAACAACAACAACAACAACAACAACAACAACAACAACAACAACAACAACAACAACAACAACAACAACAATGAAGCATGCATGGGCCGTCAGTTGGTTTTGCTTTTCGAACGGAAGTCACTCCTCATACTCCCCACCTAGATTCGTCACAAATATTGATTACCATTTACCACAGTCAATAATAGCCGTTTTGACGACGGCCATCTGGTACACATTTGGTGCACATCTGGTGCAGATTAGTTGCAGATTTGGTGCAGATTTGGTCAAATTAGGTTCAGTGTGTCTCTTAGTAGCTATCAGCTAGGTTTGCACTGCTTGCTTATATGCTTGCTTTGTCATATTATCAGAGAGTATCATCGATTAAAACACTGAAATAAGGTAATAAAATAAAGATATTTGCTGTACAAGAGATTAGGTGCAGATTTGGTCAAATTAGGTGCACTCGCCGGATAGCCCGTCGTGAAAACGGCTAATATCATCGACTACAATGGACACTGTTCTCCTCACCTGCCAAACCATAACCTGCTTTCGGTCGATCACCAGTTTTTTGAATAGCGACGAAGTTGGCCTGAGAAAGCGCAAGATATAGATGTCGCCACCGTCGTCACCAAGGATGAGTAAAGATGGCGCTTCCTCCCGGTCGGAGTCGTGGTGGGCCACCATGCAGGTGACGGCATCAGGCAGGCCGGTCAGCTGGCAGGGCCGGCAATATGAGTCAGGTCACTGGGTCGACCGGGACAAGGTCTCTAGAGCACCCTACCAGAGACGGTTCGCTGACCGGCAGTCATCTAAGCTTAACCATTTCAAAGTTCGAATCAGCTCAAACTTGCCAATATTAGTGTTGACTTCACAATGTTTGCATCACAATGGAACACTTGGGAACCAATCTGGGCGATCTCGATTGGTGAACACCAGTACGCATTATTCATTGGGTATCGTGACACGTTCTATGCCACCTGTAAACCACTTGCCTTCTGGTGTCAGCTGTCAGCAGCCATAAAGTCACAGCGGGGTAGGTAATAGGCTTGCATACCTATATATTTGCATACCTACCCAGACGTGTAACATAGTTCATGCTGAGACTTAGCTGGATACTTGACGCTCTCGATACTTACTTACTCGATACTATTGCAGATTTATTGTGGGTTACTAATCGGTACACTAGTAGATGTATCGGGATGTGCATACCTGATACTCTGGTAGGTGCACCGTAGCTGAAGCGTCGTAGAAGTGCAGCGACCGGTCGGAGGTGGAGAAGACAAAGTGCATCGAGTTGGCCATGTGAGCGGCGTCAGTCACACGGACACACGGACTCGAACCTGCGGCGCCGGTTGAGAGGGTGAAGGGGTGTCAGGCCGACAGGGTCTAGAGCAGCACGCGGGTCAGCTCGCACGCACATTGCAACCTGATCTGGTCTGGTCTAGCATAGTTTGACCTGACGTGGCATGACCTGTCCTGTTCTTACCTGAACAATATCAGATGATGCATGTAAACTATTGGTTGGTTTAATGGTCCTTGCTACATCATGAAGATAAGTTACTGTTACGTACCATAAATACCTATAACATTTTTAATAACATTATTACAGAGCAATTATTCCAAGTACCCGAAAGGGGTACGGCGGAATGAAAGGGACGGTTACTATCTTAGGGTATGAAAGGCACAACTAGTCTACTGGTCTATTAAAACGTTAGCGGGAGAAAGCAGGCGCAGCCGTCGTCCCACTCCCAGGTGATCACAATACATATACAGTCATTGACCAGTAAATCCCCTCTGCCGCTATTGTATCTATCACTGAACATCTATACATCACCGTGCACAGTTCAGCGAGCTTACCGGCGGAGCGTGCGCCTGTGGCGCCGAGGGGCAGCTGGTAGCCGCGCTGGAACTCCAGCTGGGCGTCATACATGGCCACTGCGCCGCTGACTGTGACCGAGAGGTAGGTGTGCACCGGCTCCGTTACCACCAGCAGACGTACCGTGGTCGCCCTCTGCGGACAGAGCAGGGAGGGGAGAGATGGAGGGAGAGGGAGAGGGCAGGTCGAGGATATTACGCGAAACGCTCGGAAATAAATTTTATCTAAAAATAATTCTAGCGCTAGAGCTATTTGAATTCAGAGCTATTCAACAATAACGACACTGAAAAATTATTTTGCAAAAATCAACGTCAAAGAAACACAAAACACTCACCCTATTCTCCTTTAGAAGCTTAGTGACCATGTCGTCTTTGAAAGGCGCCTCCAGCGGCTCCTTCTGGGGACACGTGTATACCAGCAGGTAGTCCAGCATGTCCAGCCAGCTGACGCGGCCTCTCCCGGAGACGTCGACCATGTCAAACAGGTCCGGTCGCGCCAGCGCCGGCAGGTGCGTCTGCACGTACTCGGTGAACTCGTGTCGGCCCACCGGCCGGTCGTACTGGCTGCTCAGAGTGCTGTCGGAGGGCGGATCCGGCACCGGGCTCCGCCTCTTACCCGACCCTGGGCGCCGCCTCTGGCCCGGCCCTGAGCGACCTCCGCCCGACAAGCCACTCAGCAGACTCCGCGGCCAGCCTCGGCCAGCCAGGCGGGGCAGACCAGCCTGTCTCCTCTTCTTCTGAACCCCAATATCGAGCTCGGAGAAAGGTATACCGCTGATGAGCGAGGGAGTTCTCTCCTCCGCCGCAGTTCGCTGTCTGGAGGAAGGTTCCTTCTGGCGGCTGCCTCTGCCGCCGCCGTGAGCACTACGTCGGTTGGAGGACAATTCGAAGAGAGAGGCACCGATCAGAGATCGTGGTGAATTCACTGGACGCTCTGATCGAGGTGATGCACTGGAGGACCGACTTGTGGGACGACTGGTGGAACGGCTGGTGGGACGGCTGGACCGACTGGCGGGCCGGCTAGTGGGACGGCTGGTGGGACGGCTAGTGGGACGACTGCTGGGACGACTAGTGGAACGGCTGGCTGGGCGGCTTGTGGGACGACTTGTGGGACGGCTGGTGGGACGACTTGTGGGGCGGCTGACGGGGCGGCTGCCGGGACGACTGCAGGGACGGCTGGTGGGACGGCTGGTGGGGCGGCTGGTGAGACGGCTGGCGATGGCTCCAGGTCCGGCCGGGAGGAGGGCCGCCCCGGACAGGTGGCGCGCTGGAGGGCTGTCGCCTCCGGACCCGCTCGCGCTGGCCGGTCGTGACCTCGGCGAGGTGCAGCGGGACACCGATATCTGAGTGGTGACCGCCGGCCGGACCGCTCCAGAGGGCACCGACCTCCCACGAGACGGCAGGCTCCCGACCCGAGCCGCGTCCGGAGCCGAGTCGCTGCCCTGGGAGGTCGACACCGATGGACCGCTGGAACTGAGAGAGAGAGAGAGAGAGAGAGAGAGAGAGAGAGAGAGAGAGAGAGAGAGAGAGAGAGAGAGAGAGAGAGAGAGAGAGAGAGAGTTTACTTGTTTACCTTCAAACAGCTTTCATCAAAGAAAGTGCGGTTGTAAAATTCAAGTTTTATCTCCAAATAGCGGATTATTGCCCAGACGTGTTACCATTTACCAAGCTGTATTTACATTTTAGAGACTCTGTATCGAAAACAACTTATTTGCACTGGTAAAACTTCATACCCTAATCTTCAAAATTAGCGAGCAGTGACCATCTAGTGACGCCTAGTCGTTCAGTATGTATAATAGCCAGTTATTGCCCTTGCCTACCATTCCGAGTAGGTATGCAGGCTGTGCTATACGGAGTCCTAACCTATCGATGGTGCCTGGTCCGCCTGTAGCAAACAGACGCCTCAGCAGCAGCAGCTGTCCAGCCGTCAGCGCTGGAGGTGCAGAACCGCCAGCACCGACTCCATCGTTCCTGTGGGGGAGACCAGCATCACAGACTGTGGAAATGTGAAATGAGCATTTCTGAAGCCGGCAACATTTATCATCATCCGGTAGCTACAGACGGAAAAAAGCCGGGTAGTTGCTGTCGGTGTTGTGGCTAATAAAAACTACGGCGGACGGCGGATCCTTTCGTAGCGTTGAGTGCTGCGGCACAGCATCACCACAGGCGTGTACCACTAATGCCATCTAGTGGCGAAAGGATGAGCTAGACATCGAGCATTGCGGCACAGCATCACGCAGGCGTATATCACTAATGCCATCTAGCGGCGAAAGGGTGAGCTATGCATCGAGCATTGCGGCACAGCAGCACTGCAGGCGTATATCACTAATGCCATCTAGCGGCGAAAGGGTGAGCTATGCATCGAGCACTGCGGCACAGCATCGCCACAGGCGTGTACCACCACTGCCATCTAGTGGCGAAAGAGTGAGCTAGACATCGAGCACTGTGGCACAGCATCACTACAGGCGTATACCGCTAATGCCATCTAGCGGCGAAAGAGTGAGCTAGATATCAAGCACTGCGGCACACCATCACTATTCACTACAGAAGTATTCCGCTAATGCCACCTAATGGCAGACATAAAAGCACACCACATACGGTGTAGCTACTTTTGCTATTGTATCTTTGTACCTAACTAACTCGGAAATAAATATATAGCTGTTACTTTCAATCCAGGACCATCCGCTTTCCATCCTAACTCTGACTAAAAACTTACCGGTTATCAGGTGTCAGTGAAGTCATAACCAAGGCAAACGAGTGTTGACCCTTTTAATCACAATACCGTGAGGTGTTATGTGACAAAGTACAAGGACGGCATCCGGATAAGTATACACACAGAGGAGGCGCCACGCCAGGTCGCGGACGGTCTGTAACTCGAAGCCGCAGCCGACCGAGGGAGCCGCGCGGTTGCCGTTCCCCTCCCCTCCGCTCCGGGTTTGGTCGATGATTGGGGAACCGTTACCCCGCCGAGTTGCTGTCGAAATGGTGCTGGTTCTTGATGTAACCTCAGTCACCAGTCGGTACCTACAGCATCCTCTGAAACTTATAAGTCAGTAGGTACTCAGTCTAGTGTGTGGTTTGTGTCCAGTCAGTCTTTTCTTGAGATGAAGTGAAATATCACCTATTGACCCAGCCCTCTGACTGAAGGGGAGGCCAAACACCCTCTCCCTGTCTGCTTTCCACGGTATCTCCGAAAGTAATGCCGATATCGCCACTACGCTTTGTGTGTTCCCTGCATCCCTTGTAGGGGAAGCCGGGGGAAGCCCGGGCGCGGGGGAAGCCCGGCCACCCCGTTTCCGGCTAAATTATTCACAATAAAATGCTCAACTGTTTGTCCTTTCAGCGTGGCAGCTAAGGTAACGCCAGCAAACAAGTTAAGGCTAACAAAAATTGCATATTGTTAAAGTTATAGCGCAAAAATGATATTTTAAGGGTTTTTAGCTAAAAAGTGAGATATGTTGCACTGTTAATGTTATACCATACAGTACTTATATTTATACGAATGTTATGTAAGGACCGTTTAAGTGTTTGTAGTGAGGGGTGACGAGGCAGGCTGGCTTAAGTATGACATTTTTTCGAATATCGCTGTCCTAAAATAAAAATTAGCACATTGGGGTAACCCCGGGCGAGTGGCCAAGCTTACCCCCAACCGAGAGCAATGCCACTAAACTACTGTTTTCCATGAGATAATAGGTACTGAGCAGGTTTGGTTTACACCTAGATCAAAGATAAATTTCGAAAATAAACATGTTATCATAGACAAAGCCAGTCATGTCACTTAAGGTCAACTAGGGTCAAACTACATTTTTGCAGATAACGCGACAGACAATGAAGCTAGAGCTTCAAAAATGGTGTCGTTGTGTTCTTCTTCATCAGCCGAGTCGAATGATATGCAATATGATGCATTAAGGTAAAAAGAAAAATAAATTTTAGGAACTTTGAAATACACATTTTTTGTCAATTTTGCATCACGATTTTCATCGACCTGTACTGTATATGTGGTAGACGCTAGCTAAAATACCAGTAGTGACATAAACTCTAAGATGTCCAGAGCTAATCAGTACCTTAATATTTCACTTTCCGTTAATATTTGGAAGACACATAATGGTTTCATCAACTCGTTGTAAAGCGCTGGGGAGGTGGCCGGCGTTACCCCTATGCCGGGCTTACCCCAGAAAAATCAACACTTTTTTAAAACTCGATTTTCTCAACCTTATACTTATTCCACGAAACCGAATTTTTGGGAAAACACGGCCAATGAACTTAGCTGGCTAACAGGATATCAACATTTTATACAGCACGTATGGCATGTAATAAAAATGAAAAAGAGCTTACTATGCCGGGCTTCCCCCGGCTTCCCCTACATATCCTGCCCAAATTCATAAAATAGTTCAAAACGTTAACCTTCGCCGGCCGAGAGGCCGCCCCCCCCCCCCCCTATTGTTTTTCTTTTGCGATAGTTCGGATTAAAACACGACGGAGAGAGAAAACTGAAAGTTGGCATATCTGACCTGTGATTGAACCCGGATCTTTTGACAGTGGACACCACTTAAGCATTTTCAGGTCAGATCAGGTCACAGACCTATGACGTCACAAGCAAACCCACTGAGCAAACCCACTGAGCGTGTTCCGCCGCGACTGCAAGGAGGTACCTATAGGTAACATACGAAATGAGAGATTGATGCCCTCACCTGGGAGTAGGTAGGTACGCGAATCTAGTGTGCAGTAACAAATCGGAGCCGGCCGCCCCTGTCATTCAAGCAGTTCCGCCACTGCCGATTGATAGTGATGAGTCCGGTCCGGCGAGTTACCGTCACCGGGATGGCGGAGCTCAGTCAAGCTCGGGCGGTCGTGGTGGTGGACGTGGTATAGGTAGGCAATAGGCGGCAATAGGCATAGGCAATAAGTTAGGTCTCTACTAGTATTACAAGACTGCACACGGCGGGAGCATTACAAAGACATGCCTGTCTGTAAGCGTATTAAGCGTGAGATGTTAAAACTTTAGCGGCGGGCTAGACAGACAACGAATTGCCGTCAACTGCAAGTGAGGAAATTAGAGGGAAAGTGTAGTAAAAACCCTTCATTTGGAGGCTGCTTCAAAGCATTCATATACGACGCGGCAGATACATAATAAACGACGTTTTTGCTTGCGAAGCACTGAACTCTATAAAATGCGAAAGTACATTATACAGATCATTGCGAAAGTAATAATATAGTTCTTATATTTTTTGTTTCGTTCCTAGCCATTTTTTGTCAATTTGTCTAACATTTTATTTCTGAGAAGTGAGTATGAGCAATGGCTCAGGCTCAGAAGTCAGGCTGGACTTGGATATCCAATAGGCTGGGATGGATGTCAAATTCAAAGTGTGACTTTTGAGGACCGCCATGCCAACAACAAGTAAAAGCTTTATTTCTACGAGTTAAACCAAGGTCATGGCCAAGCTATGGCTATATAAACCAGTAAACCTAACACCATTTTTGCTATAACGATTGAGGGTTGTATAACTATGGTATTTGTCATCATTACCCAGTAAACATGCCGACGTCGGCCCGACGTCGGTCCAACCTCGGCACGACGTCGGCTGGATGTCGGATATGCCCGCATGTTCCGACGTCCAGCCGAGGCCCAGCCGACGTCGGGCCGACGTCGGACCGAGATAAATTGCTGAGGTCCAGCCGACGTCGGGCCGACGTCGGGGCGACGTCGGACCGACATCGGCCGCTGTTTTGACCGTTAAAATAATATAAAATACATGTTTCATGTTTCATAAAGAGCTTCTGTATTCAAAATGCATTTGACGAGCGACACCTACGGGGTCGTGCGGCAAAAACTTTCTCTGTCCGCGGGCGCCACTGCAGCGACACCTGCCGTGTGGCTCCAACACTATTGGCTCAGTCTGTGCGCCCACGCCGTGCCGCGAACACCGATCCTACACATTGTTCAGCGTTCCGATTGTAGTTGGACCACATCTGGTGAGTTCTCCCCACGTGGTGGGTGCATTACGCCGAGATGGCCTGGCTGGGCCGTGGTGTCGTATGTTTATGTTCGCCCAGTGGGCTCGCGGCACTGGCAGCCGGCTCTCAGTTAGGAACTGCCAGACCAAAGTACCAGTCGCTGGCTGTTTTATATTTTTTTTCTATCATTGCCTCTAGGGCCCTTGCCGCAGGTTCCTGCACCACCGACAACTGTGGTGTCCCCTACGGCCGCAGGGGCGCGCCGCGGCCCGCGATCGCGTCGTCGGCCATAGCGCGTTTGCGCCGGCGACCGTATACGCAGTTACGCTCGTGCCGCAATTCAGGGAGTTACGTCTTATGCTGCCACCAGACTGCTAGCCTCGTATCTTGTTGTATTCATCGCCCTGTCCACGCGCATGACCTAATGTCTCTGTGCACCCAAGGCCAAGCCACCCTGACGCCATCTTGGCGGGTCCGAGCAGCAATCGTGTGACCTCTACCCAGCGATCGCGTGATCGTGACGTCAGCGGTAGGTGTGGACACCTCCAGCGCTGGTGGCGCCGCGGCGGCAGCGACAGCAACTGCTGGTAGCCACGTGGCCGCCAGCGGCGCAGGCGCGGGCGTGTCATTACGTAACCGTCATCCGCGCCGTGAGGCGGCCCGGGTGATTCACCCGCCGTGTCGTCAGCTGACCGTGACCGTGGCCTAGCGGCCTTTGGCCCGGCGACCGGACCGCAGGTCCGCAGCTGATTGGGGGTCGTCTTGCACCGGGTCTGCAGCGGGCCATCTGGGCTGGAGTCAGGTCACTGCTGGCTGTATGCCACTCTGTGGGAAGCAGCGTTAGTCGGTCACAATTTGGCCAGACGTGTACGCAATCGTGTATGCCTGAGAGGCAGCGTTAGTCGGTCACAGATTGGCCTGACGTGTACGCAACCGTATATGCCTGGGAGGCAGCGTTAGTCGGTCACAGATTGGCCTGACGTGTACGCAACGGTGTATGGGCTGGAGTCAGCTCACTGCTGGCCGTATGCCACTCTGTGGGAAGCAGCGTTAGTCGGTCACAATTTGGCCAGACGTGTACGCAATCGTGGATGCCTGAGAGGCAGCGTTAGTCGGTCACAGATTGGCCTGACGTGTACGCAACCGTATATGCCTGAGAGGCAGCGTTAGTCGGTCACAGATTGGCCTGACGTGTACGCAACGGTGTATGCCTGAGCTGCAGCGCTAGTCGGTCACAGATTGGCTGGACGTATACGCAACCGTGTATGCTATATCGGTTTCGTCCGCGTCCCACTCTGGGAGCGTCCAGGGCTTACGTAATTTTGTTTTTCTCATTGCAGGCATGCTCGTCGTAGGGGACAGCTATGCTGTCCACCTCCCCCGCCGCTGTTCGCCCCACCTTGCCGTGGCGGCGGCCGGTGTTCGCGGAGGCTGCGTCAATGACGACGGCTTCAGGCGCTGGGCCATCCGGGCCGCAGTTCGTGCCCGTCCTCGCGTGGTCACGCTCGTGGCGGGCGGAAATGACCTCGCCAGAAGGGACTGCCGCGTTCAGCGGTGGCTCGCCAACCTCCAGGAACTGACGCTCGGGCTCCTGGCAGCCGGAGTCGTTCGCGTCTATGTGCTGCCCATCCCTCCGCGCACAGGCTTTCCATCCAGCGGCGTGTCGGCGCGAATTTTCCGGCGGCGGCGCTGGGTGGCCAACAAACTGTTGCGCCGCCTTTTCCGCCAACCGCCGGTGCTCCTGCTCCACTTTGTGCCGCCACCTGACTTTCTGGCGTCGGATGGGG